ATTTTTAAAAGAGACAGTGTGGTACTGGCACAGAAACAGACACATAGATCAATGGAATGGAATAGTGAACCCAGAAGTGGAACCTCAACTTTATGGTCAACTAATATTCGATAAAGGAGGAAAGACTATCCACTGGAAGAAAGACAGTCTCTTCAATAAATGGTGCTGGGAAAATTGGACATCCACATGCAGAAGAATGAAACTAGACCACTCTCTTGCACCATACACAAAGATAAACTCAAAATGGATGAAAGATCTAAATGTGAGACAAGATTCCATCAAAATCCTAGAGGAGAACAGAGGCAACACCCTTTTTGAACTCAGCCACAGTAACTTCTTGCAAGATACATCCACGAAGGCAAAAGAAACAAAAGCAAAAATGAACTATTGGGACTTCATCAAGATAAGCTTTTGCACAGCAAAGGATACAGTCAACAAAACTCAAAGACAACCTACAGAATGGGAGAAGATATTTGCAAATGACGTATCAGATAAAGGGCTAGTTTCCAAGATCTATAAAGAACTTATTAAACTCAACACCAAAGAAACAAACAATCCAATCAGGAAATGGGCAAAAGACATGAAGAGAAATCTCCCAGAGTAAGACATAGACATGGTCAACATGCACATGAGAAAATGCTCCGCATCACTTGCCATCAGGGAAATACAAATCAAAACCACAAGGAGATGCCACCTCACACCAGTGAGAATGGGGAAAATTAACAAGGCAGGAAACAACAAATGTTGGAGAGGATGCGGAGAAAAGGGAACCCTCTTACACTGTTGGTGGGAATGTGAACTGGTGCAGCCACTCTGGAAAACTGTGTGGAGGTTCCTCAAAGAGTTAAAAATAGACCTGCCCTACAACCCAGCAATTGCACACTGTTGGGGATTTACCCCAAAGATTCAGATGCAATGAAACGCCGGGACACCTGCACCCCGATGTTTCTAGCAGCAATGTCCACAATAGCCAAACTGTGGAAGGAGCCTCGGTGTCCATCGAAAGATGAATGGATAAAGAAGCTGTGGTCTATGTATACAATGGAATATTACTCAGCCATTAGAAACGACAAATACCCACCATTTGCTTCGACATGGATGGAACTGGAGGGTATTATGCTGAGTGAAGTAAGTCAATCGGAGAAGGACAAACAGTGTATGTTCTCATTCATTTGGGGAATATAAATAATAGTGAAAGGGAATAGAAGGGAAGGGAGAAGAAATGTGTGGGAAATATCAGAAAGGGAGACAGAACATAAAGACTCCTAACTCTGGGAAACAAACTAAGGGTGGTGGAAGGGGAGGAGGGCGGGGGGTGGGGGTGAGTGGGTGACGGGCACTGAGGGGGGCACTTGACGGGATGAGCACTGGGTGTTATTCTGTATGTTGGTAAATTGAACACCAATAAAAAATTAATTTATTAAAAAAAAGAAATATCTATTCAAGAATATTTTTGCTTTGGAGTTGTTGCAGGTAAGCTTTTTATTAATGTTTTTTATTTTATTTTACATTTCCACCCCAATGTTTTCACCCATACAAACTTATAAGAATTTTGTTTTTAAATGATAGTATGTGTCATATATGTGTAGCTTTATAATTTACATGCTATTATGTAGTTAATTCAGGGACTGAATTTCTCATCAGAGCAACATTAATTATATAATAAATCTACCAGCTCCCCCAATACTGCAAACTCAAATGCCATTGCTTTAAGATTCAAGAATTTTTGTTTAGTTCTCAAAAATCATGTATCTCTCTGGAAAATTCACAACCTGGGTGAAGTTTCTATATTAACCCACCACCCTACACCCCCACATGTGTGTTTTTGTTACCATTTTTTGTGTCCCCCCCCCCCATTCTGTAACCCTTTGTGTTTTTTTTTCTCCCACAGAGTATGGTGGTGGTGATTTAGGTTTCTTCTCTAGGCAGAAAAGTGAACTGATATATTCATTCATGCTAAGGTATTTAGCATGAATTTTCAAAGATTTATCATTTTAAAAAATCATTTAAAAGATTTAAAACCATTTAAATCTATAAAAGCAATATCTGGAAAGAACTCTGGTGAATTTCTAAAAGCGGGATTTTAGTGGGATTTCGGAATACTTTTGAGCAGCAAAGTCTCTCAGCATCTCTCACGCCTCAGGCATCAGCCAACTCAGCTTGGAGCAGGCGCTGTTCTGAGATTTCAGAGGACCAAAATCCAGCCCACCCTCCCTCCTCGTCCCTTCCCTGGTCACTCCTATCCCTCTGCATCCTCTGAGACAGTCGCTCCTGTAGAGCACTGAGCACAGAGCTTGTGGTACAGTTCCTGAGAACTGTTCAGGTTCCAGCATCATTATTGCCTCTATTATAATCATCTTATCTGTTCACATTGTCTCAAAAAAAGGAAACGTTCCTCAAACTACTTGAGTGAAATCTATATGGGAAGCATAACTTTTCCTTGTAAATAATAGGAATCATTCTAACTTTGATTTGTAACAATTTGTAGTCCCACTTGACTCTCCTCTTACACTATGAATCTTCAGTTCCAGGCAAATTTAATGGGTTGTCCTCCAAGTCTGCAGTACTCTATTCCGCCCCCATGTTTTGTTCATACTTTGCTGATTTTCACACCCAATTCCAAACTGCACTAGTTATACTTCTGTTCTGCTTTCTTAATCCAACCTAAGTGCCAACTTAATGTCACTTCCCTCATGAAACCCTCCGTAAGCAATCCGACTTAAGATAACCACACTCTCCTCTGAATGCATTACTGTGTATCGCTGGTTTTGTACTTCTACTCCATAGGTATTTTCATTAGTTGTCTTTTTACATGGTTAATCTTCTTTGCAACTATATTCTTGAGGCTGTTTTTCCACTTACCTGTCCATCTCACAGAAACTAGCACATACTACTAAATACTTGAAAATATTGGTTGAGACTTTATGACTTATTTATACATAGTCTTTGTGGGGGTTTTTTGTTTTGTTTTGTTTAAGATTTTATGTATTTGACAGAGACAGAGAGCACAAGTAGGCAGAGTGGCAGGCAGAGGGAGAAGCAGACTCCCTACTGAGCAGGGAGCCTGATGCGGGACTCAATTCAAGGAGCCTGGAATCATGACCTGAGCCCAAGGCAGATGCTTAACTAACTGAGCTGCCCAGCTGCCCCATATACATGGTCTTTGAATACAAATTATCTGCCTTTTTCAGACTGCAATAAAATTAGGTGATTTATTTGAACTTGAAACTTTAAAAAAATAATAATCTGAAACTAGATTTTATGCTCCATAAAAAAAAAAAAAAAACACTATTTCTGGAGTTCTTCCAAAGCCCTTTGGTGAATGTTAATATTTAATCAAATCAATACTTGTTAGAGGCAACTGAACATTGTTGAGCTATAATTAGAAAGAAGCAAGGAAGCCTGTTATGGGGTTCCTGCCATTGAGAAGTACTTTGCCCAATGGCTTCACACACTCTTGTTTAATCTTCTAAGTGAGAGACATCAAAAAAATTTTTCACGTTTGAGAAATGTCCAGCGGAAGAGCTAGAATTGGCACTTTGCCTTGTTCCCCTCAAAATCTCTTCTACCTTTTATAATTCTTATTTAAATTTTTGACACCATTGTCCTCCAGATTTCTCAGAAATCTGTGTCTCATCCAGGCTTCTATTCTCCCATACCCACAGGCAATAAATCATCCTAATTATACTTAATAAATGCACCTTAAATCCACTCTTCATTCCTACTGGTAGTGTCATATTTTAAGAATGTGTCTCACCTAGATCCTTTCAACAGCCTCCATGTGGGCTCTCTCCAGGGCGTCTTTCACACCATCACCACCAGAATGATCTTTGCAAAACATGAATATGAACAGATCAGGCTCCAGCCTAAAACCCAACATCAGCAGTTACCCATCACCTGAACAATGATGCATTCATGACCTTCCCACCCACACCTCCGCTCACAAACTACTGAGCTCAGGTCGGTCTCCCAAGAACTCCCTGTGTCCCTGCAGAGCCCTCCACTGCCCCCCAGGACTTGCCTTCCTGCATGCTTCTTCCCTACTCCTTCTTTGAGGCTTGATTTCAGCACCATCTAGAATTTAGAGTGTCCTCTTTTTGGCAACCAGAGCAGCCTGATTTTTTGTTTTCGCACAAGTTATACTGGTCCGTTTTTCTTCATTGAACAGGTATTGCCTGAATTCTTTCCACACGTCAGCATTCTGTTAGGGCCAAACGAGAACGAGGCAAACACTTTCCTGCCTGCAAGCCTCTCGCACTCACAGAGACAACATGCAAACCTTGTACACTAGGAGGGTTGCAGGCGGGTATCCTGAATATGTCTGCCATGATCATTCTAAAAACTATGAATCTTAGAAAGGGAGACAGAACATAAAGACTCCTAACTCTGGGAAACGAACTAGGGGTGGTGGAAGGGGAGGTGGGCGGGGGGTGGGGGTGACTGGGTGATGGGCACTGAGGTGGGCACTTGACGGGATGAGCACTGGGTGTTATTCTGTATGTTGGCAAATTGAACACCAATAAAAAATAAATTTATAAGAAATAATAATAAATAAAATAAAAATAAAAACTATGAATCTTAGAAGCAGAATTTTCATTGTGGAATATTTTATTTTTTAAAATAAATTTTAAGAATTTATGAATTTAATTAATTTTTAACAATTGCCCTCCCAGCAACTTACTTCTTTAACCCAATGTATGTTGTTAAACTACTCCTAGGGTGTTCTGTGAGCTGCATTTCCCTGCATTGACCATTTACACAGAAGATTATGATAAAAAGCACCTCTTAAGCACATTTTACCAATAGAGTGAAGATCCTGAATTATTATAATTAGTATGATGCCTTCCATGGCATGGTATTAATGTGAGACTGATGTACATGTAGTACTTGGGAATTTGAGTTGTGAGCTTGTGTTACTACAATCTGTCATCTGTGGAGAGATCCACGTGTTAAAGGCTATGACTACTGCAGTGAAATAATATTGTGCCATTCTGTTACAGAACAGCCAGCCAAGGGGCCGCCCATCACTAGGTGTTGGATCCAGAATGCAGAGAAAATACTGACAAAGTTTAACAGCGGGTATTACATGGAATCGTGATTGTGGACAATCTCCTGTAAAATATAGCATAGGTTTCCGCATTTGTTATTGATTTAAGATACTATAACCATAAAATAAAGGTAAATCATAACATGGTAATGGAGATAAATTGACTAGTTTACATTTATGCTATAAGGTTATGTATTTTATTGATAAATACATTTTTAGTGAATGGAAATGCTTCATTGTTTTTAATGAGCATGCCACTGAAAATAAATTCATTATATTTACAAATAAAACACAGGATATTTTGTTATTCAAATTATGTATTAGCTATAGTTGTAAAGCTTTGTTTTTCTGGAATTCCTAATAAATTCTATTAAATTTTGGTACAGTGGTGTAAAAAGTTTATGGTTAATCAATATCCTGCATAAATAGTAAAGCTATTTGTCTAAGACTTCAAAGGATCTCTGTACTTTGGAGGTGTTGCCAAGAGGTTTTAATTAAGAAAACCAAGAGAAACTCTTTGTGTGATTCTAGATGTTTTTTCATAGAATCATGATAATCTCCTATATCTTTTTATCTTCCCTCACCCGTCTCCAATTCAGGCTCTCATCTGGACTACTTCAAGTTGAATTTCTCACCTCTCCCACTAGGAAAGCTGGCAGAGTGGCATTTCTAAAGTGTGGAATGGCCAGAGTAAAAATCAATGATACCGGTCCCATCTTAAGGGTGCCTGGGGGGCTCAGTCGGTGGAGCGTCTGACCTGTGGTCTCAGCTCAGGTCTTGATCTCAGGGTCATGAGTTCAGGTCCCACAATGGGTTCCTATCTTAAACCTTGTCAGCCCTTTCCTTTTGGCCACTGGAGGGAGCGTACTTATCCCTAGTACTCCATGCTGACGCGACCTTTCCCCAGTGCTCACTAATGCCCAGGCAGCAGACCCTTGCAGGCCCCCAGCCAGGGGTCCTGTGTGTCTCTGCCCCAGCACACACTGTTGACCTAGCTCCGAATGTCTTCCTTCTCTCTCCACTGGCACCCGCCTGAATCATGTTCACTCATTCTCTTAAATTCTGCTCATGTTGAACTTTCTCCAATTTTTCCTAATAATCCTCTACCAAGTTGGGATACATTTTGTCCTTGACATTCTGAACTGTAATTATTTGTGTATCTCTCTTCTAGATAAATTGCTCCTGGCAGAGAGAGGTTGTCATTCATGTCTGTGCCCTTGGGAATTAACGTAGGGGATATAGTGAGAGATCACAATAATGAATGAAGGGAAAATAGTTGTTTAGTTTATCAAGCTCTGCTACCTGCTAGGTGCTGCTCCATGTATTAGGGGTACAGTACAAAGCTAAAGTAATTATTTTTTTTCTATCATAGAACTGACATTATCGTAGGGAATACTGAGTTAAACATAAGATGCCACTGGAGGGATATAATGCATGCTGAATGAAAACCAGAGCATGTCAAGGGGGCTGAGTACTGGGGTGCCGCTTTAGACAAACGGGGTGGCCAGAGAAAGTCTCTGAGAAGGTGATATTTGTGCAAATATGCAAGTGAAGTGAAGGGAAGGAAGCCAACCATGGCCACAGAGGGAAAACATCAGCCAAAGAGCCAGAGGTGGTGATTCTCCTAGACTATTTCAGAGCGGTGCTCAGGGACAGGGCCTCACAAACACTAATGCATCTTCGGTCACCTGTAGACAGTGGTAAAACGCATCTCCTAGTCTGATAGGTCTATGGTGGGAGCACGACAATAGCGCTGCTGCCCCAGGCCAGAGCATAACCTGGCTGCATGTTTAAATCACTCTGATGCCTGGTTTTCTCCAAAGTGAAATTTGGGCATTTAGATTTTGTAAATCTCCCCAAAAGAATTGTAATGAGCCACCAAGGTTCAGAAACAGTGGTTTAGAAGCCACAGTGAGAAACAAGTAATGGGACTGGGACATGCAAAGGTTGCTGGCCCCATGAGCACCACCAGCAAACCGTCTGGGCACCATCCCCAGCCATGAACTCAATATACACGGGTGGCTGTCCTGCCCTGGTCACTGTGCTTCTGGCCCCTTGTCCCTAGCTGCTCCAGGTATTTCCCTCCTGGGGCTAGAGGGCTGCACTAGAAGAGATCCGTGGGGCTCACAGCACCAGCATGCCTGATGCTGCTACTCAGCTGCCCTTCTTGTTTCAGTTGTTAAATGTTCAGTGCTGATCCCCTGTCATGTGTGGGCTGCATTCTCACACTACCTCCTGATGGGGGACATAGCCCTGTGCTATCGGAGGGACTGGCTTCTTTCCACCTTTCCAGGTTAGAACCCACAAATTGGGGGAGGGGGCAAGATAGCGGAAGAGTAGGGTCCCCAAGTCACCTGTCCCCACCAAATTACCTAGATAACTTTCAAATCATCCGGAAAACCTACAAATTCGGTCTTGAGATTTAAAGAGAGACCAGCAGGAATGCTACAGTGAGAAGAGTTCGCGCTTCTATCAAGGTAGGAAGACGGAAAAAATTAAAATAAAATAAAAAATAAAATAAAATAAAATAAAATAAAATAAAATAAAATAAATAAAAAAGCATCCAGGGGGAGGGGCCCCGCGAGGAGAGGGCTAAGGCGAGTGTCCCCAGGACTGGAAAGCCCCGTCCTGGAGAAGCACGAGCTTCACCAATCTTCCACGACAGAGAGGCGCTCGCAAGGAGTTGGAACAGGAGCCCAGGAGGGGCGGGGATGCCCTCAGGCTCCCAGGGGCACTAACAGAGGACCTGCGCCCCGGGTAGAGCGCACCACACCCCGCGGCCACGCTCCCTAAAGGGCCCGGGAGCAGCTCCGGCAGCGGCTCCATGCGGAGGGGGCTGCGGGGCCCCGGGAGCGTGATTCCAGATTCCAGCAGCACAGCCCTGGAGCCCAGGGCGCCGGGGACACAACCCAGGATCCCGCGCTCCCCCCGGGACAGGCGGAGCCCGGGAGGACACAGGGCAGGGAGGACACTCCTGCCATGGGGCAGCCCCGAGCTGTGCAGATCAGCAGCCCCCACCCACGGAGCATCCAGGCCCCTGCGGACTGGGAGCTGGGGTAGTTAACTGCAGGAGCTGACTCTAGGGCTGGACTGCTGGCCGCTGCCAGGGTGTTGTTCCTCCTGGGGCCTCACAGGATAAAAAACTCCCACTGAGCCGTGCACCAGGCAGGGGGCTGAGCAGCTCCCACAGGTGCACACACCTGAGAATCAGCACAGCAGACCCCTCCCCCAGAAGGCCAGCTAGACAGATAGGGGAAATCAAGTTTTTGACCAAGCCGCACTGGAAAGTTTCAGGGGAAGTCGAGGGATTTACAGTATATAGAGTCGGATACTCCCACTTGTTTTTTGTTTCCTGTTTGCTCCCCCCCTTTCTTTTCTTTTTTCCTCTTCTTCTTTTTTTTTCCTTTTCCTCTTCTCTCTTTTTCTCCTTTTTTCAGTACAACTTGTTTTGACCACTCTGCTTTGAGCAAAATGACTAGAAGGAAAAACTCACCTCAAAAGAAAGAATCAGAAACAGTCCTCTCTCCCACAGAGTTACAAAATTTGGATTACAATTCAATGTCAGAAAGCCAATTCAGAAGCACAATTATAAAGCTACTGGTGGCTCTAGAAAAAAGCATAAAGGACTCAGGAGACTTCATGACTGCAGAATTTAGATCTAATCAGGCAGAAATTAAAAATTAATTAAATGAGATGCAATCCAAACTGGAGGTCCTAACAACCAGGGTTAACAAGGTAGAAGAATGAGTGAGTAACATAGAAGACAAGTTGATATGTTGGTAAATTGAACACCAATAAAAATTAATTTATTAAAAAAAAAAAGAAGACAAGTTGATGGCAAGGAAGGAAACTGAGGAAAAAAGAAAAAAACAAAAGATCATGAGGATAGGTTAAGGGAAATAAATGACAGCCTTAGGAGGAAAAATATACGTCTAATTGGGGTTCCCAAGGGCACTGAAAGGGACAGAGGTCCAGAATACGTATTTGAAGAAATCATAGCTGAAAACTTTCCTAATCTGGGAAGGGAAACAGGCATTCAGATCCAGGAAATAGAGAGATCCCCCCCAAAATCAATAAAAACCGCTCAACACCTCGACATTTGATAGTGAAGCTTGCAAATTCCAAAGATAAAGAGAAGATCTTTGAAGCAGCAAAAGACAAGAAATCTCTAACTTTCATGCGGAGAAACATTAGATTAACAGCAGACCTCTCCACGGAGACCTGGTAGGCCAGAAAGGGCTGGCAGGATATATTCAGGGTCCTAAATGAGAAGGACATGCAACCAAGAATATTTTATCCAGCAGGGCTCTCATTCAGAATAGAAGGAAAGATAAAGAGCTTCCAAGATAGGCAGAAACTGAAAGAGTATGTGACCACCAAACCAGTTCTCCAAGAAATATTAAGGGGGATTCTGTAATAGAAAGAGGAAGTCCAAGGGAACAATCCACAAGACAGGGATTGAATAGGTATCATGATGACACTAAATTCATATCTTTCAATAGTAACTCTGAACGTGAATGGGCTTAATGACCCCATCAAAAGGCGCAGGGTTTCAGACTGGATAAAAAAGCAAGACCCATCTATTTGCTGTCTACAAGAGACGCATTTTAGACATGACTCCTACAGCCTGAAAATAAAAGGTTGGAGAACCATTTACCATTCAAATGGTCCTCAAAAGAAAGCAGGCGTAGCCATCCTTAGATCAGATAAACTAAAATTTACCCCGAAGACTGTAGTGAGAGATGAAGAGGGAAACTATATCATACTTAAAGGATCTATCCAACAAGAAGACTTAACAATCATCAATATTTATGCCCCAAATATGGGAGCTGCCAAGTATATCAATCAATTAATAACCAAAGTTAAGATATACTTAGATATTAATACACTTATACTTGGTGACTTGAATATAGCACTTTCTACAATCAACAGGTCTTCTAAGCACAACATCTCCAAAGAAACAAGAGCTTTAAATGATACACTGGACCAGATGTATTTCACAGATATCTACAGAACTTTACATCCAAACGCAACTGAATACACATTCTTCTCAAGTGCACATGGAACTTTCTCCAGAATAGACCACATACTGGGTCACAAATCAGGTCTTAAGCGATACCAAAAGAATGGGATCGTCCCCTGCATATTTTCAGACCATAATGCTTTGAAATTAGAACTAAATCACAAGAAGAAGTTTGGAAGGATTTCAAGCACGTGGAGGCTAAGGACCATCCTGCTAAAAGAGGAAAGGGTCAACCAGGAAATTAAGGAAGAATTAAAAAGATTCATGGAAACTAATGAGAATGAAGATACAACCGTTCAAAATCTTTGGGATGC